GTGTGGTCCTCGTCCAATTCCTTCTGCTCCTCCTGCTGCAGCTTCAAGTACTTCCAGAACATGAACATCGCCACCGGGTAGTGCAGCATCGCAACGATCATCAGGAAGAACGACGTCTTGAATGACGCGTCGTCCTCCTTGCCAAGAGGCTTCGACTGTACCACCCACATTACAAAAGACAACATGGCGGCGAAGCATGCCACGCCCGCCAGGAAGAAGCCTCCACCGATCCACTTCTTGTTACCCTTGCAGCACGTGATGGCACCCACCATCGCGATGATCGCCATCACTCCGTTCGACAGACTCATACCGCCGAACGTCATCGTGGCCGTGCCCACAAGACCGCACGACTTGTCCAGGAACTTGTCGAACTGCTCCGCGTCCATGCCAGCGGCTGTGGCCAAGATAGAGGAGTATGCCAGCTGCTCCGCGTCACTCACGTCGCCCGCGTTGCCGTATCCCTTACAGATACCATCGGACGAGTACTTGGACCACACGTCGGCATTCAGCACCGACAGGTCGTCGTACGAGGACCCGAACTTGTAGTAGAAGCAGTGGTCGAACGTCGTGCCGTTGGTCATCTCGCTGTCGACGCAGAAACCCAAGAGACCAGCCTTGAAGTTGGTGTTTGACACCTCCGAGGCGAGTGCCGAGTTCACCGTCTTGTTCGAGCTCCACATGGGAAGGATGAAGGCGGCAATATTGTAGATCGTGGCGATGATGATCATGGCGATGGCCCCGAACGCAAACTTGTTGAAAGCCATCGTTCTTGGTGGTAGTTGACAGGTGGGTTACTTATGTGTTTCACCAGGAAAGTAAATTGTAAAATGAGGCAGTGTTACAATACATCCTTGAGCCGGTGCTCTGCGTACCTGTCATTATTTGCATTCTCAGATGAAAAGTACATGTACAAGGTTCTTCTTCGTCGAAGAATCTTCGATGAATGGGAGAATCCAGCTCAAAATGACAATCGATACGCACCCCAGAAGTGCAGTAAGCATATCTTCTGGATAGTTAGTCTGTGATTATCCATGCTGTTATGGTGCAATTGCAGTGTAAACATGCATTTTTTACATACTAGTACTATCCCTAAATAAGAAGGATATATGACTTATCAATACTATTTTCGACAGCAGTTGCTACTATTAAAATACCAGTACGAGTTCTCCAGCAATACAAAAACTCGAAGTGTACACCGAAAGGTGAACCAGACTATGATTGCAATCGGCATCGTCATGATGTCAATGCGAACTGGAGCCATTCGTTGTTACATCGCGGCTGCTTCAACACGAAAAATCCGTGAAAAACTCGATTGCGCTGCGAATTTGGTGTTATCGCCATTTGCAATCACTGCCCTGATTTGTGAGGTTTTGGCCAATGTCCTCGAGCGGTCTGTAGCTGAAGAAATCCCTCGTTCGCCAGTGCGCACGCGTGTATGCCGCCTGGGATTCCCATACAGATTACGGAAGCAAGAAGGAACTGCTGATTAAGTTTAAGTTTTGACATCTCGCGATGCTGGACTTCATTCTCCAATTCTTGACAAAGTAACACAGTGAACTAGAAATTCATAGATGGCGATTTCGAAACACGGATACGGCGCCATCGCCATGATCACTATCGGCACGCTCTACAACGCCGTCGCCATGATCCTCCCCATGTGGACAGTCAACTCTACTGTCAACCCCGCACTCACCAGTGAGATCGCCAGCACCAACTTTAAGGCCGGACTCATGAGCTTCTGCATCGACAGCGAGCTCGCCAACTCGACCACCACTCTTGATCACTGCTTCTACTACAAGTTCGGATCCGGCTACGAGGATCTCAAGGCCATCAACGAGACGGTTTGGACCAAGTACTCGGAATATGCTACGTGCGAGGGCTACAGCAAGGCTGGAGACGTGAGTGATGCCGAACGCTTGGCGTACGCGACGGTACTGGCGACGGCTGCCGGTATGGACGCGACACAGTTCGACAAGTTCCTGGACAAGTCGTGCAGCATGCTCGGTATGGGAACCATGACGTTCGGCGGTATGAGCATGTCGAATGGTCTGATGGCCATCATCGCAATCGTCGGCGCCATAACGTGCCGTAAGGGTGACAAGAAGTGGGTTGGCGGCGGCTTCTTCTTGGCGGGCGTAGCGGCCTTTGCAGCCATGTTGACGTTCGTGCTGTGGCTGGTGCAGGCCGGCCCGTTGGGCGAGAAGGACGACACGTCGTTGAAGACAGCATTCTTCTTGATGATCATCGCGATGCTGCACTACCCGTTGGCAATGTTCATGTTCTGGAAACACTTGCAGTTGGAGGCGGGAAAGAATGGGTCTTCGATGGCCTAGAAGTGACAACAACAAAGCACAACTACCACGAGCAACGCCGCTACAATTTCACAGTCCAATACACACCAGAGTTTTGCACTACTTACACTCATAGTTTATTACGTACGTTGATACCAGACGTCTTACCCGCGTATTATCTGGTTGGCACTGATCCCACAACAACACATTAGCAATGAAGTAATAGCCTTGAGTAAAGGAGATCAGCGGCGTGGCACTTGATGCCATCGCTATCTCATTGTCACCAGCCCATCACGATGTCTCAGTCCCAGCGTCGGCGACGCGAGGCTCAATCTTTAATGAGCGTGCAAAGCAGGCATCGCTCTCCATGAAGGGGACCGTGGAGCAGATATGTTCCTAAAAGAAAAATAAAATAATACGCGATGTGAGTCGACCAAGCGCATGAACAAGCAGTACACGCTTGACTTACCAGAACGCGCTTGTCCGTGGGCAACAAGTACGGCGTCTTCTGGAAAGACAAGATCTTTTGGATGAGAAGACCAATGGAACGGATTTTCTTGAAGTTGATCAGATCTCCCTCCACACGGTCCGGGTACTCCTGGAGAGCGAGCACGTTTTGAATGACAACACCCATGTACGGGATCAGCGGGGGAGTCGCTTCCTTCGTGAACTTGTTGAGTGACCGAGCTCCTTTCTCCGTGAGCGGGACCAACTCTTGCCATAAATCTCGCGCTTGCGGTGGAAGTCTGCCCCATGTTTTCTTGAGACGGAAGATGGAGGAATCGTTCGCTGCATTCATGACCGCCATGAACCCATCAAGGTTCTGTAGAGGGGAGAGTAACACGCCAGCTACACGAATAAAATACGCGAGGATCTCTGCACGCTGGTCCACGTCGCCTCGCATCAGAATCTGGCTAACCACCCAAATGGAAATGTGATTATGCAACAGTCGGAGTCGCTGGTACCCTGGTGTCTTCTCAGCGTTGCGTTTAGATGCCAACACCTCAGACACTATACACATCAAATAAGCGTTAGCTACCTAATCAACACGGTATGCTGCACGTAAATATTTACCTTTGATCTTGCTGAACAGATAATGCTGCATCAAAGTGATCTGCTGTGCAATGATACTGGGATCTAAATCCAAGATCCTGTGGCAAGATAAAAAGATTTGGTGAGCTTAGACGATGTTCATAGCTACAACAGATCCCATGTACGTACCAAAGTCTAGCCATCCGTTGTTCCGATGGATATGAGCGCCCCACATTCACACCTCTCGGTTGCCACGGCGTGATAGTCGTCGAGCGTCCTTCCGAAAGAGTCTCGAGGGTCTCTTCTGGCTTCACAACGAACGACTTCTTTGCCTCTCCTGTTTTCCACACACCCGCGAGAGACATTCGGCGTCGCATCGTTTCAGTGATAATTTCCATTCCGGTCGCAGCAGCGAACAGATCATCATCCAAAAACTCAAGATTTGGGTTTGCTTGCTTCGCTGTACAGATAAACTGCTTCAGCGACGTATAGTCCCCTTCACAGAAAGACAGCACCTGGAATTCCTGCACGCGGTTCGACTGACAAGCATCTGCAAACTCCGGCAACAACGACACGCTTATCCATTGGGCGCATTGTGGGTCTTCCTTCGTCAATTCATCCTCAAAAGGGACCAGCTCCGTGTACAATGCAGCGACGTAGTTGCATACGTCCATATCGCATTCCACACTGTGCTTCAGAATCTCCACCAGCTTATTCAGAGCGCTCAGCACCATGCGTCGCACGTAGAATCCGGCGTCTGAGTCCACTGAATATCGCTTCCACAGACTACGCAGGATGTCGACCATTTCACGAAAGCTATCTCCACCTCCATTAGTTGCGTATCCACAGGACCAAATGAGAGCACTCAATTCTTCCAGACGGTAGTCCTCATAGCGGAGTAGAAGACCAGCGATAGCATCGAACGTCCCCGCAATAATCTCTTCTACGCTGTCGTTCTCTTCGGTTATAAGATCCTTAATGCTCAAACTCTTCCCGGTAAGGTCCTTGCGCTCAGTCAGTGACATGGGGATGTCAGCCTGTTCCACTTCGTCCATGTCTTCATCGTCTGAGTCATCATCGTTATCTTCCATTACACAGTATTCATCGGTCACGGTTGAGTCTCCATTCGACAAAGTTTCACTTGCAAGTGCGTGTGATGAACGACTCGCTTCTGCCATAGACGCCGCCGATTGACCATACAAGTCACACCTTTCGGCATTCGAGTCATCACCCATTTTCGCCAGAAGACAAGCGAACAACTCGTCACATCCGTACAGGGCGGCATAGTGTAAAGGTGTCCGGTATACCTCGCAGACTGCTGACATGTCTGCACCACGCTGGATGAGATAGTTCATCGTCGAAATGACGGAGGAGTTGTCTACGCGAATACTGTTGCGCAGATCAACAGTTGTCTTCTGGTGATAGTGTGTATCGTGGTGATTATCACCCATTGGGGATGGCACAGATGGCGATAACGCAGCGATCTTCTCCATGGCCATTCCGTGGTCTTTAGCGACAGCAATCATCAGCGGCGTCAATCCTTCACTCGTACGAACATCCACATCGCAGCCTTTCTCTACTAGTAGCTCGCACACACGCTGGCTTGCACTAGCTGCTGCAAAGTGCAGTGGTGTCTCGCCATGCAGCGTGCGAATATCCACTTGGGCGCCATAGTCGAGCAATCCTTCCACCACATTAACTCTTCCGCTCTTCGCTGCTAGCGCTAGAGCACTCATACCACGCTGCCAGTTTCGAGCATTGAGGTCGATGTTGCTATCGGCTTCCATAATCGCATCGATTGCACCAAGATAGCCTCTTTCTGCCAGCAACATGACTGGTGTGTTGCCGTAAATATCAACAGTATCGATAGGAGCTCCATGAGCGAGAAGCTTCTTCACAACTAGCACGGCCTTGTCTGCTCCACTCAAAGTGGCTGATGACCCATTAGCTGCTTTCGTCATGTCACTCGACGTCATCATCGTCGCGGGCATCATACACGGGGAACCAACCATATGCAGTGCGCTGCGTCCACATTCGCCTATCGTCTTCACCTTCGCTCCGTGCTGAAGCATGTACGACACAACGTTGAAGTGAAGCGCACTGACTGCGACATGGAGCGGCGTGTTACTTCCACACTCGTGGGCAACATAATTCACGTCAGCACCGTTTGCCAACAACATTTGAACACTGAATACATCGCCACGCTGACATGCGTGCATCAACGCCACGTTCCACAGCGCCTTGTTCGACGTCAAAATCTTGAAGTAACTACTTCCCGGGATGAACGCTAGTCGGTGAGGAGACGCTGATTGTAGGAGGAGATTCATAATATCTTGGAACGGCCATAAAACCACATTCTGCCCATTCACGGTCACCAAGACAAACCCGCGCGTAATGATATTTCCTACAGCAGAATAACCATGGGGAGAAATATGCTCCACAACGGCGCCATAGCGGTATGTGGACTCCACTTCAAACTCCAGCACACGGCGCCAGTCTCCGTCGATCGATAGCGTAATTTGATCCTTGAAGATATCCTCCAAGACAGCCGGGATGCTCACATTGCTGATGAAGTCCACCGCATGCGTCAAAATGTTCAGAGATGTTTCATCGTCCGGAGATTTGCCAACTGACCAGGATCCGTTCAATTCCGTCAACAAGGTTTTAAGCGAGATGAGATTCTCCAGTCCGCTGTTCGACAACACGTACGTGAAAATCGGGATGATATCGTCAGTCTCGAGTGGCTCCAACTCAGCGATTGTATCATGCTCTTCAGCATAGGTCGACTGGATTTCCTTGATCGTACTTGTGAGCACATCATACTTGGCTGCGGGCAGCTGAACTTGCGCGATTTGTGCAAGAATTCTGGATGCCTTCCGCCATTCCTTCCACGATACCTGGTGCACCGGAATGTTGAAATACATCTGGTCTTTACCTTGCAGCCACCTTACTTTGCGGTTAATCGAGGACTCTTCTTCATGGTACACACGACGCAGGTATGTGTTGATTTTCCCCTGCAGTGGCACGAAAAGTACTTCTTCCACATGACGAGACACAGCCGAACGTATAACATCAAGTGAGATCGGCAGCATGTCTTGCTTCTTCTCCGCAGCCTTAATGGTTCCGTTCGCATCGTCATTTCCAGGATCTTTAAGAGCTGCCAAGATGCGAGTGCCATGGTCTTTAACAATAGATTCTGTCAGCGTTGCGTGGAAGTCGCGGAACTGGCGAAGCGCGCCTGAGCTTCGGGATTCGAATGACCCAATAAAGCTCTTAAATTTCACCGCTTCGGGAGACTTGCTTGTGTGAAGCACTCGTCGTAGCTCCGCTACGATGCGAATGCTCCGAGCGTCGATCGTACTGGTGCGAATTCGATTACCCTTCGATCCGTCTGATGGCTGTAGCAGGCTGCTGGCGGCTGCCGTGCCAAGTAGACCCGCTGAAGGCGGGATAGTGCTGCTACCACCGCCTGACAAGCTTTGAAGCAGACAAACCCAAGCACTCGCATCGTCGTCGTTAGATCCGGAACACACAAAGGAAAAGTCCTCGCCGGCTACTTCAAAGCAAAACGGTCGCCTGGTCTCGTCAGGTTCCAGGAATCGAACTGACATACCGTCCTGCAGATGCATCTCACCACGCAGTTTGCCAAAATTGCTGCCTCTGTAGTACTGCAGTGATGCCCAGTACTCACCCGTAGCTAGATTTGTCCGCTTAGTCAGTACAAAATACCGTCGCTTCCAGGTTTTCCTGTAGCAATAAAAATGTTAATTCAATCCTTATAGATAAAACACCGTCTCGTTAACGTACATGACGTTCGCCTGCTTGAACAGCCAGCCACTGCGCACCAGCTCCCGTTCGATACGTACAGACGAAGAGCTTCTTCTTGACCCTAGTGAGTTGCTGCTTGAGTAACTTGACGATAGTTCTGTGCTCCTCGTGGACATCCTCAGCAGCGTCTCCTGGTCTGGTACTCTGACCGTCTTACCCGTGGGGACTCTTCTAGCTGATGCTCTCCACGAGAACTTCTTGCTGCCCATATGTCTGTGAGCTCGCAGCGCGTCCTCCGCTGTCTGCAGCACCGGCACAAAATCGTCCTCTTCGGCGTCGTATTCTCCCACCACGACTCTGGCTTCCGCTCCACTTTCATCGTCACTATTCACTTCAACCTCTGCTTGATCTGCGCCGTCCAACCGGAAGCCGCTGCTGTCTCTTGCTGCCTCCAACACAGGGATGTCTACGTCCGACGCTCCTCGACGTCTCGAGACGTCCGGCGGCGGGTTATTACGCCGTGGGGGCACGTTAGATACTCCCTGAGCCCTTAATGGTGGCAAAGGTGGCGGTGCGGACCGCTTTGTGGCCTTCTGGAGCTGTACGGGCGGCGATACCTCGTCCATGAGGAATGTACTGAAGCTCAGCTGACCAGGGGACGCGGAGCCTCCGTTACGATCCATATCTTGCTTCAGAACGTCGGAGGCCACTCGGTGCAGGTCCAAGGCGCTGCGGTTCATGTCTTGGACGGCGCTAGGGCCGTCTGCAGAGGTTTATTCACCTTCTTAGGGGTGACTAAATGGGGTTTATTGCCGTTTCTGCTCACTTACGCACGAGACGCACACAAACCTGGCACGACAAGATAGAGCGAGAGATTGCGCAGAATATAGCGTGTATAAGAAACACAGAAGACGTCTGTAGACCCGGGCTCAGCGCGCGCAAGCACCACGAAGACGCGCCAAATGCGGACTCTGCTTCCTTCTTGGGTTTTGCTTCGGGGGCTGCAAGCCACAGTGCAAATGTCGCGCGAATGTGGACAGAAGGTCGTACCAATTTAACCCGAGCCCTACTAAGACGATGCAAACATGGTGAAACAGCATGCTCTCACTGGAAGCTGAACATGCAGTGTCTTCCCTAGGGATAGATGCACGGCCGCTTTCTCTTCATAATAGCAGGTTTAATTTACCGTTGTGCGAGTACTGAATAGAGGACAATTCCGGAGCCGATAGTGGCGGTGGAATAGCTTCCATCCAGAGCTGCAGCGCCAGCACCAGCTACTGGAGACGAGTCTGCTTAACAGAGCCAACGTGTAGACGACGGCAGCCCAACTTACGCTTCTCTGCGCGCCGTCTCGGGATCCGTGGTCGTCGTGAGGCCGTGGATCGGCATCTTGAGCGGCAAAGCAGCGAAAACGACACGAATGCGATGTAGTGACATCACTTCAACGATTGATGCCCTGCCAGTGGCAGGCTACCACTGCTGTCGGCACAGCATCCAGAAGCGTGTGCTATGCTGGCTTCATGTAGAGCTACGACTTCTGCCGGAATTCGGCCACTGTAATAGTAAATGCCACTGCCAAAGTCTCAACAAGGATGGCTACGTTTGTCCAGATGCGATTCGGTGGATAGGCTTTGGTAGATTACCTCCGCATGCTACACAACAGCCTACCGATCTTGTGGTGGCGTCCACCTCACGGTTCACTAGGGACGACTAGTGCGACCCAGTTGGCAATGACGAAAGCTGATGGAGCCCCAAGGAGCAGAGTATTCATGGTGTAAATGAGGGACTTACCTGTCTGCCTACTAGCCAACGTCTCAGCGACTGCACTAGAGTTAATTATTTTCCAATTTACCTTCTAGCTGCTTTTCCTAATACTTCTAACTATGGCCAAGATTATCACTTTCTCCGCTGCATCGCTGCTGGCAATCGTCGATGTGACCAACGCAGCTACCGCTGGAACGCCTGCCAACGAAAGCTGCTCCCTGGTCGATTTCACGACTCAAGGCACTCAATTCCTCCTCCTGAACAACGCAATTGACGTTGCAACCCAGTCAACACTACTGCCCGGGTTCGTTGAGGATTATGATCCTCTTGTACTCCAGAACATCAACCTCGGTGCGTTCACCTACTCCATTTTGGGGCAGGATCTCACGTTCACACCCATGCTCGAACATTTGAACGTGACCGGGCTTGCAAATATTGTTCCGGAGCACATCAACGCTTCATCGTCGAACAGCATCGATCTTGGTGCATATGGCATTGGTGAAGTTTCAATTGACGCGGCCGTGAGCTTGACGCTGGAGGAGATTGACACGTCAATCTCTGTCGATGTATCGCTCACATTGGGCAACCCCACCCTGTCAGCGAGCGTACAGACCGACATGTACGGCTGTTCACTCGGTGCATCGGACTGCAAGGACTTCACTGTCACCACGATCGAAGTTGCCGGAGTTGATGGTAAGTACAATACCATTATGGACTCGCTGCTTCTTCGATTCAAGTCTTGTGCTGTTCAAACGATAACATTGGACTTCAACTCCATTGTCAACTCCGATTTCAGCTTTCACGGTTCTGGGTCAATCATCTCAGCCATCACAGAGGTAGTGGCAGACTTCTCGGCTGATGAGATTAACAGGAAGGGTGATATCTACGACACGTTCACGTCAAACATTAACGACCAGTTGCTGTCGGTGGCCAACGGCTACATTGACTCGAAGCTCAAGCCAAGCTTTGGTGCCACTTGCGTCGAGTGAGTAAGGGTAGTTTAAAACGTATAGAGTTGTGTGAATGTATGGATTGCGTTTTGTTCATCTTGAAGACTTGGACACTAATTGACTTACGATCCATACGGACTTGTAGGTATCAAACCCGTATTCTCGCATCGGACTTTCCATTTCGATGAGGGAAGTGTGCTAACCAGCCCGTCGACAAACATGGCGCCCTTGTGTCTCAAAGGTTGTATTTTGGAGCGTTCTCACCACAGACATCACAAGATCCGCGTGATCCAGTCTCGTATTCTCGACGCATTCTCCAAAGGCGTCCTGGAATTCGCTGGTGCTAACGACCTAATTATGTATCCATCCCATGCGGCATGCCAGAAAAACGAAAAACCGAGCTCAGAGACACGAGTCGACTCCAGCCTAGGCCTCGACGACCCACTTATCGTTGTCGTGCAATCGAAGATCTTCGATGCACCCGTACCCGGTTTGAATATACAGGAAATGACGTTTGACCACGCCGAGCTTCAGCTAGATTGTACATAGAATATGGGGTTCCACGCTCGAACCAACCTGCCCTCTTGCGACGTCATTATATGCTCAACGCGAAATGCGCAATGACTATAGACGGCATCGCCTTGGTTCCTGTGAGTGGATTCCACCTATGCATGCGATAAAGGAACTATAGTATTTTGACGTGCCCATGACGAGGCATCTCGAATTGTACCAGTTTGCTGCAAGTATGGTGGTGGACTTCAAGGAAACGTTTTTTAAACTTTTGGTACATCATTGCGTCCTCGAGAAAATTGGCGTAAGGGAATTGTTTATGATTGAGTAGTTGTGTGCTGAAGACCCGTACGAGCGCCTTGTATTGGACGTGAATGCGAGTCGATGCAATGGTCGAAGCAAAGCCAAGTGCTACGAGGAGTTGACAGTACTGAACGACAAGACTTATTGGCGTCCTGATTACTTTCGATGTCCCTTTATCGGCGCAGTGTCACCGTGCATGGCATCTCCGAGGAATGGTGGAGCCCCAGAGCTCGCACAGGCGTGAAGATCAAGAGTCACAAGGAATATAAGCACAGGGATCGAAGTCTGCTTAACACAATGATGCGAAGAAATGTCAACGGTTTGCCCCCCAGCAAAGTGTATACGTGGTGATAACACCAGCAGCATCTACAAGTGACACATTTGAGTTGATAAACTTGCCGACAGACAGTGTGGGATACTATTAATATAAACCACCGCTGGAGAATTATATGGTGCCAAGATTTTATAGGAAGGCATCCAACGGAGAGATTCCAGAATCGGATGTGACTTCTCATGTTAATCATTCGTTTTCGCTCTTCAGAAGTGACTTTTGAAGTGCGAAGAAGAAGAATTTGAATGAAGCAAGAATCAAACCAATCTACCGTAGTGGCCCAAAATTGGGATTTGAGTGTGGGCTGCGACCTGAAGGCGCAGATGCTGGATTGGATGGTCATGTGAAGGATTGCCTCTATGAAGTATATTTTTCGTCGTTGTCTTCCTCAAAGAAGCTGTCGGTGACGACGGTAAGATCTGTTCACCACTTGCTGCTGTGTATTGAGGCCCAATCAGTTAAAGTCGCTTGGCGTTCGTTAATCTCGAAGGCTGGTTTTTGAGTTTATTGGGCTTTCTGTGCCCCCCCCCCCCCCCCAACCAGGTTTAGCCGGCTAAGGATAGTCCGGCAAAAGTGGGCGGACATTTTTGTCACTGTCTGCTTGCTACTTGGTGCTAGTCCAGGCATCTAGTATCGATTTGGCGAGGACGAAGCGATCTGTGAACGGGACTGAGCTGGGTGCTGTGGTAATTCAAGTCCACTGTCTCGAACGAAGCCATGGATGTGATCGAGACCGACACGGCTAATGTACAAGTGAACTCTGAAGGCGCTACCAGTTATGTAAACAACTACAAGATCATGGACATGCTGGGCGAGGGCACGTTTTCAAAGGTTTATCTATGCCAGAATGACACAGGGACTGAATTTGTGAGTGAAACACTGTAAAACATATCGATTGATACTACTGTACGTGCCCGTACCGACGCGAAGTTCTGTGGCAATATGTAGGCCCTCAAGATCATCAACAAGTCCATCCTGAAGCGCAAACGTGAGTACAAACGCGTCGACGGGAAGCTCGTCCTGTCAAACGCCTTCCAGGTACTCTACTTCGGTTGGAAGGCGAAGATAACTTACAGACTTGCTAATATTTGCTTGTTCCTGCTGCCAGAAAGTTCAAAAGGAAGTGGCTATCATGAAAAAACTAGCACATTCGAACCTCGTGAGGTTGTACGAGGTGATCGACAGTCCGGCCGACGATAAATTGTTTTTGGTGCTTGAGCTCATCCGCGGAGGTCAGGTCATGCACTGGGACGATCAGAAATTCCGCTATTATGCTCGCAACACTACAACGGGGGTACTTGGCAAGGAAACTGTGCGCGAGTGTATGCGCGACGTCGTCGCTGCGCTAGACTTCCGTACGCATGTTGCTGAAAAAATATGTGCTTTCGATGCACTAATCTGTTATTTTCTTTACGAATTAGTGCATAGCAACCACATTTGCCACCGCGACATCAAGCCCGAGAATATTCTTCTATCTGGTGACCAGTACAAGCTCGCTGACTTCGGTGTCGCTCACATGAATGAAGATGAACCATCAATTTCTACCAACAATGGAAATGTGAGTTCTTTAAAGCTTCGCAGTACCGAAGGAACGTATCATTTTCTCGCTCCGGAATGTACAACGGGTGATGAGTATGATCCTTACCAGGTAGACGTTTGGGCGATGGGGGTGACCATGTTTACCTTGCTATCGGGAACGCTACCGTTCGGCACGGGCGTTGCGTCACTGAGCGATGTGATGACTTCAATTCGCGAGGATACCCTGGCTCTACCGCCCAATCTTGATACTGAATGCTCTGAACTACTCGCTCAGCTCTTGGAGAAAAACCCGCATAAGCGTATCACAGTTTCGCAGCTTAAAACCCACCCGTGGCTCTCGGGAGCAGATGATGAATTGATTCGAAGACCTTCGAGCACAGAGGTGATAGTCACGCAGCAGGAGATCGAAGCTGCCTTCACACCTGTCAACAACTTTATCCTAGTGATGAAGCTCAAGATGAAAATGTCTTCGAGGCTTAACAATGCACGCAAAGCACTCGCTAACATTAGCGGCGCTCGACTTGATAACGCGATACCAGTAACACAACACGTCCCTGTGACTTCATCCCAGCCTCCTGAAGAAAAAGCTAAAGGTGGTAAGGAATCAAAAGCGTCGGAGATGGCTCTGGGTGAGCTACCGCGAGTGAAGATCGACAAGTTACAGAGACGACCAAGTCGTCTCGTGGAGAGTATTAGCGAGACGGTGGGCTCGTTTAGTACAAGTATTCGTCAGCTGGGAGGTATCGTGCCAATCTTCGAAGGCGCGGCTTCCAGCACGTCATCTCTATCTCCAGAAAAGAATTCCCCAGACAAGACAGATGCAATCGGATGCCCCGGTCCAGTGCTGCGGAGGATATCGGCTCGCAATTTGCGCAATATTGAAGCATCAATTTTCGATATGCCTCTGCGACCTGATAGCGAACCGTTGACTGGAATCACGCCAGCTGAAGAAATTTGTGGTGATCTATCGCCCAGCATAAATGAAGCTCGGAGAACTTCTTTGGTATCGTTAAACAGGGACAATTCTCCAACCAAACCAGATATTGGGAACCCGCCGAACGCACACAAACTGACAAAGCGCAAGTCGATATCTCTGGCGGGAATGTATTGGGACGAAAAATGAAGAAGTAGCGTATCCATTGCGGTCGCTTTATGCCACAAAGTCCCTCATACCACTTGAAAAAAATACAACTTCAGAAATTGAAACTGACTCCACAGTGTGTCTTCATCTCCTCAATCCAAGAGAAAGTTCTTTTGGAGTCGTAGCGAAATGACGACATATTGTAGCCGAAGATGTGGTGTTGAGCGAATATGCCTGTGGCAGGAGTGCTGTTGTTCTTGCGTGTATAAAAAATAGGTACTGCACATGGTGAGTTTTCAATGCACTATAAGCTTTCATTCATGCTGTATCCCGCCAATACCGGGTCCCACAGTCCGGTTTTGGCGGGTCAGCTTTAACGCCTCAAATAGTGCGCCCCTTACTTTAACCAAGTACAAGCATCCCGCCGGCCGAGATTCGTCTCATTCTTCAAATTGCCATATTGGGCTGAAGTGGCGTTAGTACCGCAGCACTAGTGTAATAATGCACCCACCGGCTCTACCAGCCATTGCCACGAGCTTTGTGCGCAAGCTGTACCGCATCCTGGACCAGGAGAGCGCGGCTGTCATCGCCTGGGACGCCGACGGCGCGTCCTTCGTGATGCTGGATAATGACGCACTAGAGACCCAAGTACTGCCTCGTTACTTCCGTGGTCGTCTGAGCGCCTTCCGCCAGCAACTAAAAGAACACAGTTTCGTATCGGCATCAACCGAGCAAGGACAGGAACGATATCGCCACCAGTTTTTTCGACGTGGCTGTCCAGAAGAGCTCAACCAGATCACTCATACGCCTTTGCCCAGGAAGAGGCCGCCTAGGAAGAAGAAGCGCAAACAGCCAGAGTCTACTGCTGTTGCAACAGAACCAACCAGTGACGCCAAGATAGCGAAGAACCGCGCTAGTAGAGGAGCGCATCGAGTGACGCCCTACCCGGTGCACCAAGAACCGGAACCAGAATTTAAACATGCTGTCGTTGACCCAGCATCACTGGCGGGCAATCCGCTATTTGGTGGTGACGCGTCGTTGAGTAACTTCGTGCAAGGGCTGGCAGTGGACGGGTTATCTGTGCGGCCTCTGGACGCCACAGCTCTACCAAAAGATGAACCCATGTCCGAAGACGTCATGGAGGCTCTGCTATCACTACTCAGCACGTCGCTGTCAACTGACGGACGGGAAGCAAGTACTGCTGCAATGGGTGCAACCCTTGCTGTAAACCCCACAGTGACGTCCGCGACGAATACCAACAGCACGAGCAGTACATGCAGTAGCAACAATATCTTCGCAGAAGGCCGACCACCCGTGGTTTTGCCGCCGCTACCACCAGGAATCGTCGAAACTGGGCAGTTTTCCGACGAAACCCTGAACAACCTTATGAACTGGGTGTCCGCCAAAGAGGCGAGTACGTCATGAACCTCATGAGTCACTGATCCAAGTATGTACTGATTCAATGGCATCTCGCAACATGGGTACATTTTCAAATTATTATCCAATTAAATCTCATTATTTTTTTCCGCGCTGAGACTTTAATCGAGTTCCCACCGACTCGCTCTTCATGGCGGTGGGTATCCCCACGGGCTTCGTGCGCAAGCTCTACCGCATCTTGGACCACGAGAGCGCAACCATCATCAGCTGGGACGAAGGTGGCGTCTCCTTCTCCGTCCATGACAGCGCTGCACTCGACGCGCAGATTCTGCCACGCTATTTCCGGGGCCGCCTCTGTGCCTTCCGCCAGCAACTCATAGACCATGGCTTCACACGCGGCGACTGCGAAGAGGACGACACCCGTGAAGAGTACAGACACCCAGACTTCCTCAAAGGACAGCCAGCTCGACTGAGTAAAATCGAGCGGAAACCCAAGCGAAAAGCTAAAGCCGCGCGGAAATTCAATGGCGAAACTCAGAGTAAAAGCGTTGCAGCACAAATTGAAACTTCGAAACGACCGATATCTCTCAAGGTGACACTCAATGTACCACCGAGGGAAGGCAGAAAGAGGGACCGAATAGAGACTGCAATCAGTGAAATACCCAAGAGATTCAAGCCATCGATCGCTCAGACACCGTCAACTACCGCCAAAAAGGCCAAAAATCCACTGTTTTCGGACGACCCAGAGACCGGAATTCTGTCCCTAGCCAAATTCGTGGAGGGAACTGGACTACTTCCGGCGAGTTCCGATCTGCCAGACCCAATTAGTTACCTCAATAAGGCTGCAGATACTGTCAATGGGACGGCTCAGGGCACTCAGGTAGCACGGCAGGAAGTGGAAACGGCACCGACGGTCCCAATGTTTTCGGACGATATGGTCAAGTCGGCATTGTTTTTCCTCGTTTCGTCATCGTGCACGGGAGTCGAGAGTAATACCGCGGCGCCAGTGTCAACAACAATGCCGACAAGTGCATCGACACTACCCACGGCAATGACAACGTCGACAACAAATTTTTTAGCCTCACTACTTGCTTCTTCATCGACTGGAGGCTCAACGGCGACACCGTTTGCAAAGGGCAATAATCCTCTGTTCAATGATCAAGCAACGGATGGAGATGATGATAGTATCTGGAACATTCTGGTATCTTCGTCTGTAGACAGAGTACGCACCGCCATCGGTGGAGTGGAGTCTCCACAAGAGAAATTGAGACTGATTCTGGAGGAACGAGAGAAATTGGAGGAACAGCGAAAGAAAGTAGGGGCGCCAACGGGGCCGATTGTACCGAAAAGCTTGGTGGCAAGTAATCCTCCCACGACTACTGCGGTGGAGAACTCTCGGCCGCAAAGACAGCAAAACCCTTTGTTCGCAACGGACAACAGCAACAGCAGTGTTGGAGGTCAAGCCGAACCTGCAGAAGACGATCTCTGGAAGCTGTTGATGTCGTCTTCAATCGATTCATTCAGACGGGTAAATGAGATGGGACTGTAAAAATGCAAACGTTGGCATAGTTCGGGTTATTAACTGATTACTCGAAGTATTCGAGAGTTTTGGACGTTCTGGAGCTCATGACTTTGTCGGCACGATGTAATTATCTTGCCTTGTTGAAAATGCTTGGCTGGTTATTTACTTAGTGCTGCTTTGTTTAGAAACCACAGTAGACACTCAGCTCTGATCGCTAACATCACATTAGGGGGTTTCAAAATTAAAAAAATCGATTTCGAAATCGTTCACGATTTCGTGCTGTGCCACTGTCCCAAATCGGACGAGGTACTTCATCAAAATCAAATGCAATTCCCTCCAAAATCCTTCGACTCCCTCCGAGAGGGGGGGGGGTCCCCTCGTAGGTTCCAGTCGCAAATTTGCCACCATGGCAGCCAAGGGAGTAAAGAATCGAGACAAAGCAAGCGATGATGCGTCGAAGTCCCATCTTCGAACTGAAGATCTCTACGCAATCGTCACCTGGCTTGAACATCCACCTAACTTCGTGAAGTGCTTTGGGACAACCGGGAAGCCCTCAGTGGGGAAACAGTCGACGAAAACCAGCGGTTTCAAGGAGATGGCCAACACTCTGTTCACTAGCAGCAAGGGGAAGTTTAATCTTAAGCCTCATCAAATGCGCAACCGCTTTACTACATACAAGGTGCGGTACCTACGTACGAAAAGAGTATGAGGACTCAACTGGTGCTGGTGTAACAACAGAGGACGCAGCGAAGGGAATTCACACGCTGAAGCAAAAACTTGACTTCATGTGCCCTTGGTACGAGAAAATGAACGATCTTTTTGGTAAGAAGTCTAATGTTACCCCACTAGACTCTTTTGATTCCACCGAAGTGGAGGAGGAGGGTTATTTGACGGAAGGTGACAAAGACAACGAAGAGGACGATGGCGGCGAAGGAAGTGCAGGGGGCGAGGACGAGGAAGGTGATGAGGACTTGATGTCTGTGGCTGATAGCGAGGTTGGGCGAAGGATTCTGCCTCGACCACGTAGCCTGAGCTTTTCGCTCAGCGATACCTCTGACGCAGTAGGAGAATCTTCACCCCACGATTTTCCATCGACTCAAGTTACTCCTGCGAGCGCCACGTTGACTTCCCAAGAAGTACACCAACCTTTCCAGGTGACCGTTGCTTCTGATACAGTGACTACAAGCAAACGATTGTTGAACAACGATACACGGATGTCAGCTTTACCCAAGTCACAACCCTCCAAGAAAGCTCGTCTTGCCCCACCTCCAGCTACTTTGAACACGTCCCCACAAGATGCACGTGGTAGCGGTAGCAGAATTGCAACTGCAATGAAGCAGGCAGCTGAATCAAAGGCGAAAGGTACGTCTACACTTCGTGCCGTGAATGTGCTACTTACTAATCCACACTGTTCATGAGTTACAGTTGAGAAACTACGCCTGGAATTTGACAAGGAGAAATGGTCTAGCGAGGCTGAAAGACAATCAGGTAAGGCGTGGCAGCTTGTTTCTTATGCGCAACCACGACCATTAACATTGGCATCTTATACTTCAGATCAACAAGTCCTGCAACGGGAACGGCTAGCGTTCGAAAAGACCAAATGGGAAAAGGAGCGCGAAGATAGACGCTCTGAGCTTAAGCAGCAGCAACGATTCAATGTCTTAAACTCGTTAATCGAGAAGGGTCACAGTGTCGAAGAAGCTGAAGCGTTCCTTAAGCTGCTTTAACGGCGTAAACGATTGGAGTTCTGGCTAAATAGCCGATAGCAGCGTGTCCTTTGAGCTACTAACTCCCAAATACAGTCTCGTTGCTACAAATGAATATCATCATGTCTCCAAAAGAACAGCTCCTGGTTCTGGCAGGCCTGCGCGCCGCTCACCTTGGTGTACGAGCACATGAGCGTGGCGCCGTTGCCCTTCTGCAGAAGCGTACCTGGAGCAACCCAGTACAACTCCTTCAGCACCTGCACGTCCACGATGCTGTTGACAGCGATGCCACTAGCTCCAGAGTAGTACGGACCAATCTGCTTGGGGTTTGTAATTGTGCCTTGGGCCTGCGCAGACGTCACGTCCTGCACACCCATACGAACGTTCAGGAACGAGTCCTCGCTGTACGACTGCCAGATGCTGCCCCCGACGCAGAAACTTTACACAGGTACCGTGCAGACGCAATCGGGAAGAGCTTGACTTTTGCTTGTGATCGCCCTGCGTGGGCAAGCCCGTGGCGTTCTGGACGATCACCACCAGCAAATAGTGTTTTACATCCGCATCCGCCGTAAGCTACGTCTTCGCGTAATAAGTGTGATAGGCTTGATAATCTCACGGATTGAGCTACGCTCTTCACGCGCAAAACCATCAGCACCCTGGTTAGGCGGATCGGACTCCAAGAACATTTTTTTCCAACCATCCCCCAGCCGTGCCATCATATTGTGAAGTACACAACACCCAATAGCCCAGTCGATTAATTGTGTCATTTCTTGTTCCGAGCGTAGCTGATTCCGCAACTCACGTAATGAAGACCATCTCCCTTTCAGAATTCCAATTGCGTGCTCATTCCGCACTCTAGACATAGCTAAATAATTGTTGAACTCTGCGTTGTCGGGTTGATCTGCAAGCGGAGATTTGTATGCTGGCAACACAGTCTGCAATAGTGGGTAAGCAGAGTCGGCTAGAAGGAACTCCCCACCATCAAAGAAAAGTTCACTCTCGCGATAGATTTTCATCCGCTTAAACACATTCGAATCAGCGCATGACCCAGGACAGCCGCAATGTACCGCAATAATTCTCTTATCGCTGTCACACACACAACCTGCATTGACACTGAATACCTGCAAGGCAAAGCGTTAAATATTTACGAAGCAGGTCCATGCACGCCAATGCCCATACCTTTTCTTTCTATCCCAGTAACTGCTTCCATCTAGTGCTGGGCGTTGTGAGAGGGGCAGTGTAGTGCCATCAATAAAGCCAACGCAGCCAGGGAATCCCTCTGATGCCATAACGCTCGCAACCTCCCGTCGTCTGGCTCGTGACGGCCACGCAATCCATTGAGCACGCACTGCCTTGAGAGCTGCAACGACTCGCTTCGTATACACTACCACCGACCCAGCAGCTATATTGAACCGCCGGTGAAATTCTCCAACACTAGCAGCATTTCCATTTGCTCCGAGCCGGGCGAGAGCAACGGCAATCTGTACACTCGCTGGCCGTTGTTTGTGCGGCGCATCGGTGCCACCGGAATTAAACACAGTGTTCCCTCCGATATAGTCGGGTAGAGCAGCAAACGAAGACTTGGAAACCCGCGTAACCTGCCGGAACTCGTTCTCTGGGAGTGCCAAAAGCTCATCAAACTTGTCGTCTCGGTGTGGGGCTCCTATACGATCGTAGAGATACCTGCTTGTAGCGACGGATAGATATGTCGTCCACAGCATAT